TATGTCAAGAAAGGCTGACTGATATGCCAATTCTAGAACCATTATTTTCCAACATGTTAAGCGGGTTCAAATTTAAACTTGAACAAATGAGTGGAAAGGTGAAGGTGGGGTCCAGGGAAGGAGGGTCAAAACCCTTTCACCCACTGGCCGACAGTTTCCTTCTCTCTTCACATGCTTCCCTACTTACTCCATTCTCTATTTCTTCTCCCTACCTCTTGTTCCCCTACATTTCTCTTTTCCTGTTTATTATTATCACCCCTTTAATTCTTCTAATATTCAATCCATATATAATAATAATAATAATGCCCTTATTCCTATAATATATATGTAACACTCCTCCACATGCAATACAGATTTGTTTTCACCATATCCCAAATTAAAGCATCTATATCCATTTTTTTAGTATAGCAAGTTAGTATCTGTATTAACATGCTTAATATAATAAAAGTAAATGTCAAGAATAAAATTTTCTTCTGCCAATATTAAACCAAGGCTTGAAACCATAGAGAATCGAGAAAAAAAATTAATTTGACCACCAAAAAAAAAAAGAAAAGGCTTCGAGTGGACCATATGGGGCTCTCATCTCCAGGTTGGGGGAAAAAAAAAAACATCATACCAGCCAGGCAGGAAAGCATTCAACGTGAGGTGAAACCACAAACAAAAAGTGAACAAGAATTGTTCTGAATTTATTATGGAATGAAAGATATAAGTATGTCCAAATAAAATATGGTCCCGAAGAGATCCATTTAAAGAAGGGGAAAAAAAAGAAGATCAAGAAAAGAAAGAGTGCCTAAAGAGAACATATAGTAGAGATGCAGAATATAATGCACAGCAGCAGATATATTCTTCATTGCCAACTTTGTCCTCCTCTTTCACCTTGTTCTTCTGCACCTCTTCTATGGGCATTGTTGGAAATGAAGACATGTAGCGGCAAGAACGAACAGTGAATTTGGTATTACCGCAGTAAATATAAAACATCCTTTTTGAAGTGGTTTTGTTTGTTTTTATCAAAGATCTCTTCAAGGGGACGCTCCAACGATTCCGACAATGACCCGATTGAACGGGGACAACGTCATTTGTTGTTGCTGTTCTTGGGGTCTGGTCTTCTTGAACAGTGGCTCTGGGGATGAACATAATGATGACCCCACTGCCCACGAATCGTTGGAACCATCAGACCCAAAAACTGCGTCGATTACGCCACTTGGACTCTCCGGACTAATTTCCTCATATCTTCGTTTCTTAGTCTTGTTATGCCCATAATTATAATAATTATTGCCCTTTGACATCTCCTGTATCGCATTATAGCACTCGTCTACTTTCTCCTGTAACAGTGACAGAACCAAAATACCTAAAGTTACTCCCAGATCAAATCATGTGCTTATCATATATTGTGCATTAATTATATGTATAGCAGCTTTGGTTAAGAATATATTGTACCCCCAGAAAAGCCCATACCTTGTTACTTTTAAGAACGCCCAGAAGCTGATTTTTATATTCCATTCCTTCACTCTGCTCAATCTGGTCTACCACATGCAGCATTGTCGCTGTAGCCAACACTGATGGGAGATAACCCACAAATCTTGAATCTAGACCCGATAAAACACACATATAACAAACAATGAGGAATCTTGGGAGTGAAAGGTTGGTTCTTTTTGTTTTTTTGTTTTTGAATTGAATCTTAGTCGCTTACCTGGAAGAATAGAGAGCAGGAGATGCTCGCAGCGCCTGAGGAATTCCCAGTGAAGATGAGTTTTTAATCCAAGCCTCCTTATGATGTGATCTAGAAAAGAGAGCGGCGTTACTGGGTGCATCTTCCATTTCAGGGCTGATAGAACAAGCAGCTCCATTCTCTGTATAGTCTTTGCCTCAAACATGCATTTAGTATCTTCAACCTGAAACAGAAGAACAAAAGCATGTTAATTTATTATGTCCAAAGACAGAACAGAACCACGTTTAGTTTTTGTTTTTATTTTTTTCCTGTTTTGTTTTAGTCTAACGTACTTGGAGGTCTAGAAGAAGGGGAACTTGAGTTTCTTCAACTTTTGCTGCCAAAGAGAGGCAAGCGACAGCCACAAGCTGGATCATCCACGGCTTCTCCCTTTGAAAATGGAAGCTCGAAAGGAATCTGTCCAGGTAGTTGATGGCCAGTGTTGCCGTTAGAGCAGAGAAGCCATAGTGGGCATGAACTTTAAGCATCCATTCTATTGCCTCACGACGAGCCAGAGAAAGATCAACATCCAGATCAAAGCAAGCTTCTTCTTCTTTGGAGAAGAGAGAGTTCAGCTCTTCATCTTCCCAGAATAAGTCTTGCTCCGACAAGATCCGAGGAAGAAGAAAACCAGTCTCATTATTCCCTTCCACCTGTTCTACTTCCTCCTCCTCCCATCTTTCTTCATCACAGTAAAGAGCATCAAGGAAAGAGGAAGAGTTCTCGTGGTGAGCTAGTTGGTCATTGTGATGGTGGAGGATTGCCATCTTCTTCTGGGAAGAAGAGAGGGAGCTAGTGATGGTGTTTGGTCATCATAAAAAGTGAAGACACAGAAGCTCACCCATCTCTGTCTCTCTCTCTCTCTTCCTCTATCTGTGTGTGTCTCAGTAATGGGGAAGCAGAAGAGAGAATTGGTGAGGGGCAGAGGAAGAAAAGTAGGAGCAGTAGTAGATATTGAATTTAGAGGTGAGTGGGTTTCACGCTTGTCTTTTATATAGTGTGTGTGTATATATGTATATGTATATATATCTTTAGTTGCTGCTTTCGGTGTTTAGTTGGAGGGCAGAAATGTTAAGGGCACACAAACCAAGCTGGACCCAGTGAAAAGAACCTCTTGTAAACCTAAATAAAGACGCTTGGAAGCAGGGCATTGAGGCAGACACACCCTCCTGCTCTGCTCCTCTGCTATTCATTTCTCTTTTTTTTTTTTTTTTGCCTTCTCCTGTTCTCTTTATTTATTCCTTTGCTTTCTGGGCTTTATGGGCTCACCTTTACCAAGAACGGTCCAACTTAGTTGTCAGCCCATAATCCAAAAAGAGGGAATCAAATTTGTCCATATTTTTATCTTGTTTTCATCAAACAACTTTCTTTCACTTCTTACCTTTTCCTCTCTCTCTCTTCATCTCTTTTCTTACATTCCTTCTGTCTTGCCAAACATTATCTTATAGATCTAACTGTTATTACTTTCAATCAAAAATCAATTATTTTTAAGTATGAAAAGAATGAAGCATGGGTTAGGTGTTTTATGAGGGCATGAATCTGGATTTAGGGATGGTGTTTGGTTATGGGAGGACAGAGGAAGGTTAGCTTAATTGGAGCAGCTGAGCAAGTAGGTAATATGATATTCTCGCAAGCACAAAGGCACATTCATGACAAAGGAATGAGATGAGTGAAGGAGTAATAAAATGAGTCCCACACTGCCAATCTGGAGGTCCGTATATTTTTTGGGGCCTGGGTGCAATGGAAGGTGGAAAGGGACAAATCATTGAGGTGATGATGGAGAGAGTAAAGTGAGAGACTTGCTGTCTGTCACTCTTGTATGTACAAGTTTTTTCAGTAGAATCACATAAGCAATGCGAGATTTACAGATATATATATATATATATATATGTATGTATGTATAAAGAAAAAAGAAATAATCGTATAAAGTGATGGTGATCATTGACTCAGAGTCACCTAAAATAGTACAATAGTGTGGAAGGAAGGAATTTTTTGGTCAAAAAAAAACAAGAAGGAAGGGATTTGTATCTGGTACACTTACTTGTACAAGGTACTTCCCCCAACGACTTTGAAAATGAATATCATTGGAAAACGCACCCTTCAATTCCAGTTTAATCATTCACACTGTAGAATTTCATGAATTAGTGAATTACACAACTCATCCTCCTAACCCATCTTTTCCTGTTCAATTATGACTTGAGTTCTCTTTTGAGTGCTTCTCAAGCTTTAATATTTGATGATTAAATTAACATAATTGAATCGTATTTCACTTGTTGTCATAAACAAGAATTATGCTAGGTATAAATGATAGCATAAGATTGAAATTTTAATAGAAGGAATATCTTTTTATTCCCTATACATAAGTATTCTCCTATCAGAATCAATTAATTCGATATATTATCATATACTAAATATGAACGCTTTTCATCATAAAAATTCAAACTTTAATTTGTTATGTTATTCAGCTAATTAGTGGAAGAAATATAAAATGTAAGCAAGATGCTCTTCTTCAAAGTCCGTCAATTTAGAAAAATGGGCCTGCACTCGATTACCATGCTCTTGGTTTTTGGTTTTTTTACACTCTCTCTGTGGACCTGAAGGTCCTATATTTTTTGTCACTCCATGGGTCGAAGCCCGCGTCAAGAGACTAAAAACCAATACTAGTGGCCTTGGGTGAGTCTGTAATTCGTGTTTTTGTTATCTACCCATCCTTTTCATTTTTCATTAGTGCTTTCATTTTTTTGGACTGAATTTCATTTTTCATTAATTTGTTCTCGAGTGAAATCAATTTGAGCCAACTTGTATATACATATATATAAATAATATCCTCATTAAACTAATTACTTAAATTTAAGACATAATGACTTGATAGAGATTAATTTGAGAGGTCCACGCGCCGGCACCAGTTGTGAATTATCACTCCGTTTCTGTATGTTTGACGAGATAACATGCAACACGGAGCTAATAAATCCGAGAATTAAATGCATAACTTTCAGAGCGAAGATTACAGCACATAAATTCAAACTTCCACTTTATTACGAAAGCTACATAAAGTTTAGAAAACTCTGAATAAGCTTAGAACGAGACACAAGAAAATATGGAATTATTTATGTTAACAACAACCCCTGGAAAAGACTAGGATCCATATTGTGCTTTCATGCTGGTGGGATATTAATTATTATAACCTAGTCCTCCGAAGTACTGAGAAAGATCCAGATTGAGATTCTGGATAAGCTGCTCGACAAAAGCACCCACAACACCTCCAATTCCATGAGACAGAATGATCTGAGGATCAAGAAGAGGCTGATGTTGTCGGGGGTGGCGGAGGATAATAAGGTGATGGCGATGAAGGAATGTAATAGGGCATTGCGTTTGCAGGCGGATATGGAAATGGCGGATATACAGCTAAAGACTGACTATAACGTGACGGTGCAGCTTGAAGGTAGTATAACCTCCTGCCACCCATAACGGAACTCTTGGACCTCCAGGTGTCTGCAACTCAATTCAACAATATATATCAATTATAAAAGTATATGTAGAGATGATTAGAACTAGTCAAATGAAATCATGTATATATAGCTCACGTTGGCATTTGCAATTCTTCAACTCCAATCTCAGTTTTAGTTCACCTGCGCGGCTGCCAACGGACACTTTCATATCAGTTTCAGTTCTTTATATTTTGAAAATTCGAAACTCTTTATAGAGATCAGAGTTTGTATAATATGTTTTCATTTACCAGCTGGTATTTCCCTTTTGGAGGGCACAGGGGAACACTCACGGAACTTTGTTGAGGAACCGCGTCCAGTGGAATCCTAAAAGAAACATTACGTTATTATTAACTGATTGTAGTCCCTCAAAAACATGCATGATTCTAAAAGATCATTTGAAGGGTTCAGAAAAGTTGAGGTGGGGAAAATAAATTTCTTTGCAGTGCCCACAATTTCATCGGGAGCGAAAGCCCTGTTCTTGGCAACAACAACGATGAGCTCCCTGGCGATTTCCGTGAGTTCTAAAATGATCTTATCCTGAAAACTTGGATTAATTCCCCCATCTGCAGCTTCAATTTAGGCAAAAAGCCCAGGAAATAATGGGTTCTTAGTTCAATCTCTTACATATATAAGCCAATTGTAATAACCATGTTTGATATACATACATACATATACATATATATATATATATAGATAACACTACTCACCTATATATGTGCTCTTGATCACAAACTCCTTGCTGCCATACTGGAGGCATAAGTACCACTCAGTTGGCCTCATAGCCGAATTTGTGTCGGAGGTAATGTTGCATTCTAGGACTTCACACACACGAATCACAAAATAAAATGTCAGTTCCTCCAATACCTGCATATCCAAATCCATGAATATACAAGACGCCGAGAAACGCGAAGTAGAGGAGAGGAGGAGGAGGAGTAGGGTTATATTGTCGCAGTGTTTGTACCATTAATCTGAAGCTCACGAGGGGGGACCATGAAAGCCAGGGAACGACATGATGGAGAGGCATGCGAGAGATCGAGATTTTAATTCAATGATCTTAGAATATGATTTCTCAAGGGGTGCATTGTATATTTACACAACTACAACATTATTAAGAAGAATGGATCATGATCAGCGTTGTTTGTAAACTATAAACAAAACCTAATAAATTAAAATTGTGTCACTTTTTTCTTCCACCACATTACCAAACATATTTTGCCATGCATTAAATAATATACGCAGATTATACATTGAATAATTAGATTCTACCTTTGAAATGGATAATTGTTGTGCTTATGAGTCTGCAATTATTGTTCTTGCAGGCTGTAAATATAAAGCTTCTAACATTTCTTAAGAGAATATAAGACAACTTAATTACATTTAACAGATTATAATTTTAATAAGAAAAAGCAACATCCATTTAGTAGTAGTTGTGCATTATATATAAATCCACTTACGTAGGAAAACCAAAGGTTGATTTTGTTTACTTTCTGCGTTCCAAGTTCTAAATTTGTTTTTTTTTAATTTTTAATCATAGAAAGGAAGGGGGAAAGCTGGTTGCAACTTCTTGGTCGTATTAATTAATTTGGTAGATGAGAAATGGTAGGCGAATATGATTTTATATATTAATTTGCTTGTTGAGTTGTAATTTATAATGTTATGTAAAGGAAAAGCTAGGGCATTTGGATAGGAAGTCAATTGTACAGAGTATTGTGTTACTTGTGGCGCTTGACTCGACTCTGGGAGCTGTCGGTCCACTCGGATATGTTATTGTAATATTCGTTGAAGAAACTGATGCCTCTCTTGCAATGCTCCACGCCTTTTCATCTTTCCTTTCTTTGGATTTACATTTGATTTTAGTCAGTAAAAGATTAGCTTT